GTGTCAAAATCAGGGGTGTGCCAATAGTATGATATGTATGCATACATACATGTGACAAAAACAATGACAGCAGCATCTGCAATCTGAAAGAGCTTGAATGCATCCAAGAGTATCAGAACAACTCTTTAAGATTCAAGAATCTGAGAAGCTACTTTATGGGAATCTTGAATCTTGAATCTCATAACGTTTAAAACAAATCTGGAGTCAAGATTTAAGAATCTGAGAAAGTATTGTCTGGGAATCTTGAATCTTGAATCCCAGAATTATCAATGTTTTTTTTTTTTTTTTTAGAAAGCAATCCAGGTTTGTCCCAATACTCTCGGTGTTCAACAAGATTCTCGGACAAGCTTTCCGTGAAATATGTCAATCTCGTTTTTTCAATCCAGTGGTAAAATGCGTTCGAGGTTTTAGAACAACTTGAACATTTTTAGGGGTTGACCAGGATGGATGATTCTCAGAAAAGGGGTGTTGTTTGTGCAATCCTCAGTATTGAATCCTCAATCCAGTGGTAAAGCACTTTCAAGTGTTAGAAGAACTTGAATGTTGTTTGGGTTTGGCCAGGATTGAGAATTATCAGGAAAATTGTTTGTGTAATCTTCAATCGTGTTTTTTTCATCCAGTGGTAAAATACTTTCAAGCGCTTAGCGATCCGGTGGAACCACTTTCAAGTTATTAATTAGACAAACCTTCAAGTGCTTTTGGTGAGCAGTTTGCTTCATGTTAGCTATGCTCATGTTGACCCTTTTCCAGGAGGTAAGCAAAGGTAGGTGTAATGCTCAAAAACACCGTAGCTTACAGTGTTTGTTTTAATGAAGAGGCGCAGGATCATTAGGGGTACCATATATGTGTGTATGTATGTATATTTTACCTAGAATCCCTGTTTCGAGATAGTTTTAGAATTTGAACCTCTCTTCCCTTGAAATGTCCTTTTGGAACACCGTCTAACAAGTTTAATTCTGGACCTTTCTTGTGCTACAAAAGGGCCATAATATAAATAACACAAATCGTATTTCGAATTTCCTTGTAGAAGTCCCTTAGATGTTTAGCCATATTAAACATGAGTTATATTTGAGAAGTCGTCTCTATTTAATGATATTATCAACAGCTAATTGAGTTGTGTTCGCATTAGACTATATCTAACACTTAGCTTGTATTTGGGAATAAACTCCTATCTAGCTTCTTTTCTTAAAGATCAGTTGGAGTTTACCCGAAACTATATGTACATGTTCATGTAGCTCCTACATGGAAAGGATTTGCATACATATATATATATATATTATAAACCGTAGTTGAACATAAACACATTTTTGAAAACTATGTCCTAACTAAATTATATTCAAAAGTCCAATTCTAGTTGAAGAAGTGTAATCCTATTTGGGAAAGGGTATCATATTGGGACATTTCGGAGGACTCCGGGCTCCGAATTATGAGGCTTTGCGGACCCACAATTGGACATTTCGAGAATTTGAATCTCGAGATTCTAGACTTTACCATCCTCGATATATATATATATATATATATGTATACATATATATATATTATGGCATAGCATGATATAATGCAATATGTTATAATATGATATAGTATGACATCATATACAACGTATTGTATAATATCATAATAATTTATAATATACAGACAAGTATATATATATATGCACATGTATGTGTATTTCAGATCCGTCAGACAGTGATAGGAATTCCGCGTGCCCGGCGCCAGGGTTTGACTGGCATATTGACTCGTTGGAAAGGAAGAAGTGTAGACAACTTGCTATTTGTACTGAACACTGTGATGCTCAAGCTGGATCGCCCCAGCGTACTTCGCGTATAAGCAAGATGTGTAAAAAAGAGTTGTTGGCTTTTGAGCTGGAGCTGCCAAAGTGTACTTCACATGTACAATTGTACTAAAAGGTGGTATGTCGAGCTAAAGCTGGCAACACGCACTTTTGTTTGAGCACTGCACTTGTAATGACAACTTGCCGTTTTCCACCAAGGCTCACAGCACTGCGCAACTGGCAAGAGTTTAGTTTGGCAAAACGTGGCGGATGTTCGCGCCAGCAAAACCGCTGGCAAACCGTGAGCAAAAACTGCATCCAAATTCAGCAAGAATCCTGGCGCAAAGGTTTGGCCTGCTTCTCTTTCCAATGCTTTAAGACTCGTCCAAAAAGCAAATAACATCATGCTGGAAACCATGGGAAGGGGAGCCTGTTTGTAGCCCTTCGTGTCTCCCTCGTCGCTGCAATTGCTGCTTTTGATTGGCAAGTTGAGCGGTTTGCTGCATTTTGCCCAGGCGCGCGCGGCTGCCGGCAGGACTCCTGGGATGGCAAAGAGTGGCGTGGGATGGGCAGAATCGCAACCCCGGGCCAGACCCTTCAAATCTGCCTGGCAAACAGAACAACTTCCAAAGCGGGTCTTTCAAGATGGGCTTCGCAGAGGAACGTTGGCCTTCAAATTCCACAGCCGAAGAGGTTTCCCAAGGGGGGCCAAGCGTCTTCCAATTCGGTTCTTGCAACAGGATCCTTCAGGAGTGCCTCCGCAATGTTCAACTCGGTCTTTTAAAATGCGCCTTCCAAGTTTGACTTCTGCAATGGGCATTTCAAGCTAACCCAACATGGGCCACGTCGGTGGAACTGTTTGGAGGGACTTCGGAACTTCCTACTGTGGATGCCGGCCGCATTATGCCAACGTTGGCATTCCCAATTCCTTTTAAATTCCTTCCAATTCCTTTTTGACTTCCTTTCAAAACCGTGCTTTCCCAATACTCCGCCCGCATTATGCCGATATTGGCATTTTCAAAACCTCCACCAGTTGGTGCTTGAGTCAGGAACTCCTTGCGTACCTTCGATCTCTCTGAGTCTCTCGGAAGGAGCCGGAAGGACAGCCGGAAGCGCAGCGGCTCCCGCAGGACGGCTTTTGGCTTTTCGCCGTTTTGGGTGGCTTCGATCACATCACTTTGCTCCGCGGCAATTTTTGAAGGTTGAAATGTGGGAAACTAATCCGGCTCCCTTTTTTTGTCTTCGGCAGTGAAGGGGATGGCGCGCCTTCAACCTACAGCCCCTTTCATGGATTTTCTGACAGGTAAGTCTACATTGTTCGCAAGGCACGTGAAGGACTTGCCAGAGAACAGACCTGCCGGTTGCCCTCTACCCGACTTGACACAATGCTACGCATGAAGAAACCATTGCGGGCTGTCTGTGCGTTTCGCAGATTGCGCGTGCAGTAGTGTGCCAGCAGCGAAGAATACTCTGCAGCCAGGCCGAATGTAGCGCTGATGGCCATAGTTGTGGTGTTGGCTGGCCTTTGTCCAAGTGTGGCTGTAAACTGTATGTCGAAGATACTGTGGCTGGACGAAATCCATTTCGCATCACCTAAGAAACCCTGGAATGATGACCCCCCTGTAAATACCAACCATGGTATCAAAGTGGTGCGAAACGGATTTCGCCCATCCACAGTATGGACCTTGCGGACCCTTTGTTCCAGGAAGCGCCGCGACAGCAGCCGCAGCCGCAGCTGGGGCCCCAAACGGGGACATCGGAGGTGCGAGCGCATCGGAAGAGTCCATTTTGACTGCTGCTGGGTTGGATCTAGACTTTAACTTTTGGGGAAATCAAGGGGTTTTGCACTAAACCCCCAAAAGTTGTTCGCTTTTTGCAGGGGGGTCAACAGCAACCAAGCCATCTGGGTGTTTTGAAGTTGTTGAGATTGATCCCCAGGTGTTGTCTTTCCCGTGGCTATTGGGCAAGGGCACCAAAAGGAAAGAGAAGCCGCACGAAGGTCGCGGGAACACGTGCCTTACCAAGGTCGCGGGCGAGATCGCCGCCGGTGAGCAGGAACACACTTGCATCCAATTTTCTCAGAACGGCAAATGGAGCAGCCGGGGAACTTCCGATTCCTCCGATCTACTAATATGTTCTGTTTTTCTACAAAAGGGGGAGAGCTTCTCTTCTGCATGGCTTCAAAGGGAAACAGAGGAGTCCAATGGGTTTGATGTCCGCCAGGCTTGATATATGTGCCATGGTCAAAGCCCTCGTTTTGCTCGAGGTTGGTGAATGACTGGTCCAGTCATCCAGGGGTTCGGGCCATAGCGCCTGAACCATGGGCCTGGGCAATGCCTGACGGCTCGTCCAGCGGCTTCAGCGGTTCCAGCGGTTCCAAAACGGCGCGTGGGAGAGGACGGTGTAGCGTCTGTCCAGTCAGGAAAGCTACACTCCCACAGACTAACATGGAAGCTCCCAGGACCCCTTTAGAAGACTTGGTTCCATTTACAGTGGCCTTCTGGGAGCTAGCATGTGGCCTTCTGAGGGAGTGTGGCTGAAGCGAACTGAGGTTTCTCCTTGCGTGAGGTAAGGGGCTGACGCGCCAAAATATTGATTTTGTCAATTGTTTGGGCCGAAAAGATTGCGCTTGGATTTCATCCAGACACGGAAAGTTGTTGTTGCCTGCATTCTGATGAAATCGAAGATGTCCATTGCGGGGGTGTTTTTTGGAGAACACTGTTTGGGGTCATTTTGTGGCGAGGGGAGGCACAAGGCAAACCCCTCGCTTTGGGCATTTCCTTTTGTAGAGAAACACTCATGTGCACCTTTAAGAGCTGTAAGAGCTATATGGAGGCTGAACTTGCACGTGAATCAACATATCTTGTGTTGTCACAAGAAGCTTCCCCCACAAATACAGCTAGCAGCGTTGATTGAAGCGTGTGGTGCTACATGTCTGCTTTGCCGATGGGTTTATTTCATACACAATGCCATTTGGATGCAGGGAATACCGTGCTCTGTAAGCATCCAAAATCTGTGTGGCCATTTCTGAGTAGATTTCGGTGGAGTGATCCTCTGTCATGATTGATGGCGGGGAACAACTGGATAAAGCGAGCTTACCCACAAAAAGAGCCCTCTATGGGGAAGTCTCAATTGAGGAGTGGGATGTTTTTCATTTTCTTGGGATCTGATCTCTTTGATTCACGTGTTGCAAGCGCTTGCCGCTCTTTGCTCCGCACTCCTGCAGGTGTTGGAGAGCTCAGGGTTGCCAGTGGACGATCTGGCCAAGGCCCGGGGCCAACGTTGGAGAAGCGGGAGTTTTCATGGTTTGGCTTGCAGTCCTTATACGTTCTTTTTGTTTCACCATCACTTGGCCATTTGCGAGTTCATGTCATTGTGGGGGGATGCTGTGGGCTGTTCCACTGGAGCCACAGCTCGCTTCGGCATCAATCCTAACAATACCACAACGCCCGAGCGCTCACTCGTAGATGTGTCTGACGCTTAGCTGGTTGAGGGACAAAGGGAACCCCGAAGCGTTTTTATGTTTCCTTCCAAGGAGATCCATTGATGAAACCTTCCAAGCCCCACCCTGGGAAGATTCCCCGAGACCCCTGAAGCCGCGGACGCTGCGTGCAGATTTGGGATCTCTCGGATACCGGGGACGATGGTCAGCTGGACCTAGGCGGGGGGACGTCGGCGGTTTGAACTCGTGACCCCGGATGCGAAAATGCTCGCCGCGGATGTCTCTTACCCAGTTGGAATGGTGATGCGTAGCAACTAGAATTAACCATTGCTATAAGGAGATATAAATTGAGTTGGTTCCCTTGCCATGGCTACACCTAACGAGAGGTGAAGCCCTTATGGGGAAAAATACTTACCAACAGGTGCAGGAATTGGTCTATCCACGGTGTATAGGGTCGTGATGCGTTGCTTAAAAGTGAAGGATCCCCCCTAAACTGAGACAACGTATGAATCAACCAGAGGCGAATTCATAGTGGGTTTCCAGTCAACATGCTTTGCTCCATACCTTGAGTACTTTGATCCCTTTGACCTTCTCTCGGTATATATGTGGCTGCCTTGAAACCACACCGAAAAGCCGTCAGGAATTCTGAGACATACCCAAATATGTTTGCCCAAACAGGTTTGCAATCCGCAAGCAATCCTTCTTGGATGGTTGCACAGCGAAAATGACGAGCAAGCCCGGCAAAAGCAGGGGTTCCCATCTTTGGGAATCGCATATGTTGTGCGTTGTCAGTATCAGCCAACATGAAAGTTCCTTCGGAGGTCATGTTTGAAGGTGATGGCTTGGTCTGAATCAAGGCAGCAGAAATGGTTGATTGGAAAACACATGATCTAGATTATTTTGTTCATTCATTTCAGTTTACATGTAGGCAAGCCAGAGATGGGCTGGACTCTGCCCCTGCCACTTAGTGGCAGGGTAAGATTTCGTGTCGCAGAGGTTGGTCCGGGTGCCATGCTGACAAGGGATGTTTGCTAAGTTCCTGGGGCCCTTTACCAGTTTCAGTGGGTGACTTTCGTTGTAAACTCATGGCTTGACCAATGAAGCACGCTCTTTGTCAATCAGTTTCAATGAGGATGTCACATACAGTCCATCCGTCGATCCTGGCTGGGCAGTTTGTGTCAGATTTCATTCATGAGTGCTTCAGCAGGTGTTTCGGTGTTTCTTTTTTCTCACAGGAAGAACGTTGCAGGCTTGGTTGCATCATTGCTGGAAGATCATCTCCCTGGGTGTCAATTGCTCACCTCAGCACAAACAGAATCTGCGCAGGCTGTGAACTCGCGACTGAGCCAGCATAAGTCTCGGGAGCATACCAGGAAGAGATTCTTCTTCTCGTCGTTCCACGTTCGACACGCAAACCTACATTGTTACCCTTCGATTTGGGTTTGAACCTATTAGCATTGCCACGGATGTTGCCTTGATTGCCTTGTTCGGGGGGGTTCAGATTCTGATCCATTTAGTCTACCTGGAGTCTCCATGACCCCTCAAAGACCAGTGCGGCTGGTGTCTCCAGGCGAGTTCCTGTGCGCCATGACTTTATCCGCCCGGCGGCGGGAAGGCGAGGAGTCGATCTGAGGGGCGCTGGTTGCCTGTCACCCTTTTCGCTGAGTCAGTAGGATATACAATTGGACAACTGATGGCACTTGCATTCTATCGCAGCTCTTTCCCCTTGGACTCCAGGCCTGTTTCCACGATATTTGCTGCCTGGACATGTTTCCATTTCGGACTAAATGAGTGATATGATTTGGTGTGGGCTAGAAACTTGGCCCTGCGCAAGTAGCTTGGGACATGCGCAAAGAACCAAGTTTACAAACGTTCGTCCTGGGGAAGCATGGGAAGCAACAGCAAGCAAGCCCTGCAAGGATGCAAGAGATGGATGTTTGTTGGGAGGCAAACATTGTGAGAGTGCCAGATGTTGAGAATTCCTATTCAGGCGACCATTGCCATTTTCCGAGCACAACACACGCAATCTGAGTCCATCGTTTGAGTGCAACCTCAAGCCTCTTGTTGTCAGAGAAGCCATGGCTAAAAGCCAGACGTGACCCTTCGCGGCAAAGGAAACAAAATCCTTTGCAAGCGCTCAGAACGACGCGCACAGAATCAATGCTGGCAATACCTATAGGACCTATAGATTCCATGGAGGGCTGAGAAAGCGGCGGGGCACATAGGCCGAAGAATGCATTTTCCTGCTGTTTGTTGCCTGCATGAGTTTATGCAAAGCTTTTGGCGCGATCCCTTGAAGTAATACATGCTAGAAGAGATGTGCATATTTATATATGTATAATGATTTATGCACCCTTAGCTTGCGTATATTTAGCAACCAGGCAAACCAAACACATGTGCAGCGAACTCCAGCACAACCCGAACGTATGTCCGGTTTGGCCGAGCCTCGAAGCCTCGCAAAGCTCGAGGCCACGAGCTGCCTGAAGCGCTGCCGCAAGAGCTCGACCAGGTGTTGAGGCCGGGCTACTGGGCAACCCGTCGCTCGTGGACATGCTATGGATTAAAAACACCTGCACCAGTTGGTAGGAGGTTTGGACATACTATGGATATCTGTAGATGGAAAATCCTGCAGTTGGTAGGTGGTTTATTGCAGGTATTCAGAAGGTTTCATTGGTTCCAACTGGTGCAGGATTCTGTCCATCCACGGTAGATGTGGCTCATAAAAGAGTCATACCGCTTGCTGAATGAGGATCACGCAAGTAGACGCCTGGCAGGCACTACTGATGAGTCTTCCCCACGCATGACACCTATGACAAACAGGGCCTGAATGTGCAATGTGCATGTATAGAATATTCCCTAGAGGCCGTTTAGTTAATAAAACTTGTGACACAGACCGAGACTCTTTTGATGGCGGTATCTTTTTGTTCTCCCTCTAAACTCCCTCCAAAATGAGGGTACTTTTCGATTCCAGGTCACGCTTCGGTGTGGTTTGCGGAGCCATCCGCAGAGTCCTCCTTTTTTCGCTCAGGCTTTTGCCTAGCGCAATGTCTTTGGGCAACGAATAATTGGCCAACACTATGAGGTCGCGTTCGAAACTAGCATGTCTTATGGCCAGAAACAATGGACATTTGGTGATTTGACACGCGAGCAAACTCCCAGGGTGCGGTTGCCAGGTGTGGAAGCCCAGGCTTTCGGTTGTCAGATCTGCGGAGGACCGAATGGACCGACTCGTGCCAGGTTCGCAGATTTGGAGGCGGAGATGCAAAAGTGCGCTGAACGGCTGGTTCTGTCAGGTGTTTCTGAGACCAGCAGGTTAGAACGAGCTCACCTGGAGGGAGAACCATCTCACCAATTGCGTGCGGATTTCTTGTTGCCAAATGGGTATGGGTCAAAAAAAGAGCAGGAATTGGACCGCAGGTTTTAGTCCTTCTTTCCATTTAGCAGGGCAAGCCATTTGGGGGTTACCCTATTTTCGACCCACAGCCAACTTGGGAATCATATTTTTTCCTCCAGATCTGTTTCTATACGCCGTGTCCCTCTTCGCCGTTGCTGACTCGGTCGCCAGGTACCTGGCCATGTTCCGGCAGATGGCGCCAGCAGGCCTAGCGGCCTAGCCCAGGGGTCCCGAGTTATTTCCTCTTTTTGTTTTGTGGTTTTAAACATCACCTTGTTTGCTCATAGGTGAGCTTCCCTTCATGGGGGTGATGCCTTTTTTAGGGAAATCACTCGGGAGGCCTGCCAGTTGATCTCACCCTCTTTCGACTCTTACCTTTTTGGGTGCAAGAACTGGGCCCTGGTGCTGCGCCACACAAGATGGACTGCTTGTTTCAGCACCCTCGAAATGGCCAATTTTCGTTGAAGATTCCTCTCACAAGGCGGTGCAAAATCAGTAGCCTCCACACATGTCCCACAGCATTGCTCAGAGGTGCGAAAGTAGCAGGAAGAAGAAGAAACGGCCGTGCTCTTTCTCTCCCAAAGATTCACCCTACTAAATCGTCCAAACGCGTTAAAAAGTCCCAAAGGTACTAAATCGTTCAAACCGCAATGAAAAGTCCCAAAGGGGACAATCCCAATGGGGATATGATCTGTTGCGGTGCTCCAAATTTCATGCAACGAGCCGCTTGGTTCTCGGAAGGTGGAGCTATGCCTGCAGAGCAGGCCCAGGAGATCCTGGAGATGCCGCCCGCCTCGACGGACTTGGGGGTTTTGGTGTGTGTGTGTGTGTGTGTGTTTCCGTTCCCGTTTCCGGTGGACTTTTACACATGTGGATGGACCAAATCCATTTCGCACCTCCGTTCAGAAAGCCTGGAATGATGATTCCCTGGTAAGTGCCAACAAACAAAGGTTTCTCATGGTTTCAAAGTGGTGCAGGATTTCGTTCATCCACAGTAGGTGTGGCTCAAAATTCAGGAGCCGGGGTTTCGCAGTAGTCTTTGGTTCCATTTGACAAGGTTCCATTTTGGTACATGTGTTTGAGCCATTGCCACATCACCACCCATGAAATTTGAGTTTCGAATAAGCGGACAGGGAAACTGCGATGTTGTCAATTTTGCTCCGAGCCTGGTCAAATCTGGATACTGGTAGAAGATATATTGTGTATTCTATGGGCTCCTTCAACGTCACTTCACCCAAAGCCACTGGTCTAGAGAGCCACGGATTTCGCAGCAAGACGAAAGCGAGTTTGCATTCGTTCGGCATTTCCGAGCATTGTAGGCAAGGGGAACAAAGAATTGCGGACAAGTGTCTGCCACCAGGTGGTTCCTTCGGCTTCCATGAGCTTCATG